GTTGGCGAGAGTCCTAACCACTGTGCCACCGACGCATACGGGTGCAGTACCATTGCTGAACGTTTTTCTAAATTACTTATATTCTTAGGGTCAAGCATTCTACACTTAGATAAATTCTTATGTTCCGACAGGTAATCTGACTACTCCCGATCTACTAGTTTGATCTATGTAGTTGACTCAGTACACAGTCATTGCAGGGTATTTTGTGAATTATATTATTTTATCTAATTGGCTAAATAGGGTCCTATAGAGGACCCAGAGGTCGACTACTGAATCTCTGTCCATAGAATTTACACACCCAACACATGCATTAAGAGTGACTTATCACTCATACCAGAAATGTGGGCAGTAATAAATTGTGCTCATCAGTAAATATTACTGCATAACACACTGTGAGACTTTATCAAAACAAATTGCTATCCACAATGGAATTATACTCAACCGTAGTGCACACGTTCTATTCTTATATCAATAATGTTGAGCAATTTACTTTGTTGGACTGGTAAATAGATACCTATATTTTTGAGTAACTGGAATTCATTCAGGTCAGTGAAACAATTCTGATATGTATACTGTTGAGTAGTGCCCTGAATGGAAGAGACTATCACCCCTTGGTTGAATCCATTCGATATGGTCAGCAAATAATAGAAAAGATTTGTAACTCAGGTGGATGATTTACAATTAATAGTGTTCTCTGAGCTGGTTGGTTTAGTTGCGGAGCTTTCGTCGTCTTTCTGGACGACATCTTCAGCGCAGTATTTAGCATAAAGTGAAATGATTTAAATTTCTTCATGAATGATATAATTGTGTCTCCTGGTAACCGTCTTTAGATATGTATTGACCATTTTCTATTGATTGGGATTTTAAACTTTCTGATCACCTGATTTAATCTTTATTAGTTGGTATATTTGGTCTATATTAACGTGTTTGTTCATTGCATTTCTGTTTGAGTATCAGGCTTCTAGGAGTTCTCTGGCACATTTGGTGTTTCCTCTGTCTAAGATTTTGACATTATCCCAATCTAATTGATGTCCATAATCGTCTGTATGCATTGATACTAAAGAATTTATATCATGTCTTTTCACGGCTGATTTGTGCTCTTGAATTCTAATTCGAAGGGGACGCCCACTTTGGCCGATGTAATGTTTGTTACAGTTCATACAATTTATTTTGTAAATGGTGTTAATTTTATCTCCTTTTTCTGTTGGATCTTTTGGTCTGCATGAGATGGAATTAAGCGATTCGGCTGGTTTGTGTGCTACATCAATATCAAACGGTTTCATTATTCTAGCCGTTACTTCAGAGATATTTCTGATGTATGGTAGGATGAATTTCTTTTTGGTCTTTGGTGATGGTTCTTTGTTGATACTTTGATTCGACTTTAAACACTTTTTGATGAAATTTTGTGGATAACCATTCTTTTCAACTCTGGTGTGCTACAATGTGTTTGAACTCTTCTAAACAATGTCTGCACACAGTTTCTTTTGTGAGTGAGTAATTGGATTATTGCTAGTATAGTTGAGTATTTGATCTGTGTGCGTTGATTTTCTATATACTTGTGTTTCTGAATTTCCTGTGTTGGTTCTCCTGATTAAGACATCTAAAAACGGGATTTTGTTATCTAATTCTTCTTCTCTTGTGGTGAATTTGATGTCTTCAAATATGTTGTTTATTAATTTATGGGTATATTCTAAATCATTTTTCTTAATTATTACAAATGTATCATCAACGTAGCGTACCCAGATTTTCGGTTTAATTATAGGTAGGGCTATTAATTCTAATCTTTGCATAACGGCTTCGCCTATCAATCCTGATATGGACGATCCCATTGGTGTTCCCTTTATTTGGTCAGAAAATATTAACTGTTGATAAAATTACTATTAATAATGTTATTATTATCTCATTTAGTTCCTTGAGGAATATAGGGCTTCAGCCACACGGCTCCATTGCATTCGGTTGTCTGTCAACCTTTTCACCTGGCTCCAGATCTGCCCACATGTTTTCATTACCTCTTCACATAACATCGTACTGACGACCAACTCGCCGCTTCCCATTTGGCCAAGTTCCACTTGGGTGATGGCCTAGCGTGTGATGTTACTTGGTGATGGTTTGTCTTCTTAGAGTATGGCCAATCCATCTCGAATTCTTCCTGCATATTTGTTGCACAATTGGTTCCTTGTGGATTGGTTTGATTATTGTCAGAGACTCCTCCTTTTCACTGATGTTTTCTGGTCGGCCATCTGATCTTGAGTAGTACTGAAGGAAGACAGCTGTTGATGAAGGTCTGTAGTTTGTTCGAAGTACTCTTCATGAATCGCCAAGTTGAGAAAATAATATTATTAATTTTAAAACAGTTAGTCCTTTGGATAAATTTGAATAAAGCACTTAGAAGACAAATTTCGCCGCGAGATGATATCGTCATTTCGTAGTTTCTCTACAATCGCTTTACAACCAACATGGTTCACAATAATAAGAAAATAAAATGCATCACAATTACTCAGTTATATAAAACTAAAGTACATATTAATGACCAATCATATATTTTAATAGGTCAAGTATACTTGCAATGATAGGTGAAGATTGAAGTCTATTGTGTTGTTTTTGTACACACAGTTTTGAATGTATGTGATGATTAATCCCCAAAGTGCTTCCATCACCTTTAATAACTAATCTTGAATTACAGGTATGTGATGAAATAATTGTGAAGCAGTCATTAATATTGATTTTGTGACCTGACATTAATAAGTGTTTTGCAATGGATGATGATTCTAATGGATTTCTATTCAGATTAATAATTGTACTGGGCTTTTCTAAGTGTTTTAATGACCATTTCTGAACATGTCCTTTTCCACAGTGACATTGGGACATTCTGTTGGTTCTACCTATATATGGGTGTGTATGTCACCGCAACTGCAGATGAACTTGTAGATAAAGTTTGAAGTAGAGTCCACAGAATTGCGTCTTTTAATCATGGGTACAGGGATCGAAAATGTTCAGCATGTGAGGGGAAGAGATGCGGCGTAGAATGTGCATTTGATGGCTGACCAACGTCTTTGAGCTAGCTGTCAACTGCATAATCTGGTTACTTTTGAATGGTAGATAATTAAAGATAGCTTTCTTTGGTACAGAAGCTGTCTTTTCTAGATATAGTTTATCCTTGCTGTGAAAACTGAAAACTTTTCATACATTTGTTCCACTTTATAAAGCAAAAACAACAGTGTGGTTTGTACAGAATAATATGGTACCATCATTGTTTATTTCGTAGCCTCCTCATCAGCTGCTTACAGCCTAAAGATATTATCACTAAATTTATGTACAGAAAGAAGTTTAACAGACTTGAAAATCTTTCATGTTGTCAGTTGACAGATGGTTCAAAAATTAGTGAACAGTGCTCAGAAAATTATGCTTATAAAGGTTTTACACACAGAGTTCAAGTTTAAACAAAGTTGATGTACGCATCCAATGGTATAGGCTTTGCATAATAAAGATAAGAGATATGTAAGATGATGAGTAACTAATAGATTGGTTAACAATGTAGTGAGTTCGACTCAAATTATAGAAACAAGAGACTAGAATAATTAAACTATATCAAAAACTAGGGTGAGGGAGGTTAAGGCCATAGATTAAGTAATCAAATGAATGAGGGAGAGAGAGAGAATAAAGACATCCATTTATCAGGGTGAGGAAAAAACTAAGTGATAGCCGCTTTTTTCTGAATACATAAATCAGGTTCCAAGAGTTTTATAGGAATCACTTTGGCAAACTTGAAGAGAATTAAGCCATTATATTTATTGATAATTGTGACAGCTCTTGAAATGTCCAACTTATGACCCTCATTAAGGAAATGCTTGGTGATTGTACTGTTAAAAAGCGTTTGTTTCCTTGAGACATAGAGTTTCTGGTACATGTTAAGAAAGTCGGGAGTATGCGGTTGTTTTTTTAATAATATCTTTAGGGTGTTACGCAGATGATGAGGAGGCGACTAAATAAATGATGGTGGTTCCATCTTATTCTGTACAAACCACTGTTGTTCTTGTATTATTCAAATTCATATGAAATACAATATCTCAGCAAAATTTAGGTCTATATAAGATTTGTGGTCTGGGCTCTGGGAATTAATCTTCGAGGTTTAGTTAATTGCTAACGAAAAATTTCTTTAGAGACTCATGATCTCGCATGAGCTCAGCGAAGGTACAATTTAAGATAAACACTACAGTAAATAACTAACTACCAATCAATACCAGTCACAATTGATGGGGACGAATTAAAGGAAGTCGTCACTTCATCTTACCTAGGAAACCTTGTCCCAACTACAGACAACATAGATAAGAGTGTCAAAGATAAATACTGCCGAGTTTCGGACATCACCGTGTGGGTTTGTTACTCTCAAACCAGTGTAGCATTTTTACATCAGTTAGCATAAGGAACGAAATTCAGGTTTTAAGCACTAATGTCAAGTCATCAACTCTATATGTTGCAGAGATTTGAAACGCGTGTCACCAGGCAACAGCTTTGTGCCCGATAAATATTCAGAAAGATATGAACACCTATATAGATTCGACATAAACTTATGACGTCTTCGAGAGCTAACAGATGTCAGGCTACTGAATGGAACTAGAATGGTAGGCGACAAAAATATAGTATAAACGTGGAAATGATTTGAAGAAGATAGTGAGAAAGGCAAATGAAGGCTTGTATAGAGTAGTGGAGTGGATTGAGTTAAATGTCAGAAAGAAGTGGGATAGTTGAGGTGTGACTTTGTTTGATAACCTAACCGTTGTCTAAATATTTCATTTGTGTACAAATAACTCAGTCTGTTGTAGGTAGGTTTCACTTCAAGGTCATTCTAACAATCACCAAAATAATCCAATCAGGTTGTTTTACTTATGAGTAATGTTAAAAGAACTAATCTGATTGGTTAAAAAAATCATCCCCAATCTATTCAGTGGAGATTGGAAAGTAAATTGTGGGTGCTTTGTTTCCAGAACCTATTGGTATAAATATATATATATATATATATATTTTAAAGATATATATATATATACATATAAATATACATATAAAATCAGCACTTACATACTTTATCGTCAGTCTCATCTCGAGGATTCACGTTTTGCATATAGAATACACTGTTTCAGTGATAGACACAGTATTCTCATTTTACGTCAAGCACAGAAGTATATTCGAAAAGATGGTAAGCATTTGTTTCAAATGTTTATGTTTCATGAATGTTTACTGAACAGCGCCCTTATTATTATTATTATTCTTATTTTATTTCCCTGAGTCCTAAGTGGAATGTAGGGCTTGAAGCTAGAGCTTTTAAGTTTCACTTGCAATGATTCAGCAACTTAAATATCCCCCTTTATCCAGCTGACTATTAGTTAGGCAGTAAGGTTTAGGAGTACATTGTCAGCTGGGAATCGAAGTTTGAAACCCCGTCACCGGTGGCTGGTAGGCATTTTACCGCTTCATCAAGGAATAAAAAAAGTAATATTTTTCAAGATTCCATATTAAAACTGACATCGGTTAGGAGAACTGGACAGCTGTTTCGTCAGTCTAGCTTTAGACTATTCATACCGAGGGGGGGTCGAACCCAGAGTTCTTCGGTTGCTAGGCCAGTTCGTAGACCAGTTAGAACTTGATTCAAGGGTCCATGAATTTCAACTTCTTCAAATTCATGATATGACACAACCACTAGCTTATGTCTTCGGTTGAGTGTTTGTTCTCATGATCGACATGCTGTACCCCACTGGTTACGAATTTGCTCGTAATTATGCTTCCCTTGTCAACAGTTGCCATTTACCGCCATTTTATAAGCTGGAATAGATATCTTATGAAAAGGCGGTGTCATATTTCCACACATTTTTTATGTGAGTGCTGATAAAGTAAGTTCTCTCACTCAAACTTCATGAGAGACTCACTATTGCTACCGATGTCAGGTGGTTTCTGTGACCATCGTCATTTGCAATCTCCTCTGTTTTATTCAAATCTGCGCCAAACAGCACTGTTGTCTAAGACATGTTGTCACTGGACTATTTAGGCTGACAAGTGACCTCATTCCAGCAGGATATGAATGGATATACACAAATGTAGGTGATTTCAAATGTTCATCCTTCCGCTTGTAAAACACCTTTAGGAACAATATCCAGCTTGGGTGTATGTAGTTCAGTAACAGAACATCTGGAAATTTCAGGACACTCTACTCCATTTGAAAAGTCCTTCAAAGTCATCTACAAGAACCAATCAGACCCCTCAATCTGAGGGAAATCAAGGCATCTGGGAATAGTTGAGTCAGTAGCAATCGAAATTTTGAATCCACGTTAGGTATTCAAAACAAATCCGTACAACACTTCTCCTTACCATAGCCATCATAAAACGTCATTTCTCTCAATAATCATTATCCAATTACCCTACTTATCCGATCTTTCTATTTATTACACTTTGTAATTGTTATAATTTTACCTTTCACCGTACAGGAGTAGTCCTAGAACTTTCTTAGGCATTTATACTATAACTACATGAATGTACAGCCTAGGTGACGATGACTTCGTGGAAAAGAAGATTTTCTTCGTTGTTGTTGACCGTCTTTTTCATAGTTCATATGATCCAGTGTGTATATTCCGTGAGTTCATGGAATGTACCAGCCCTAGAGTAGAGTAGCGTGGAATTTATCGGAATACCAGACACAATTGATAGAAGAAAAATCATCCGTTCTGAGCTAAAAATATCAATATTATCTTCTCAAGAAAAACTTTGGAAATACTGTTAGATATTCGTTACGTTATAATAATATGAAGCCTTCAAGGGTTACTAGAAGTATATGCGAGAAAATGATGAGACTATTATTAGGTCATTAAGATGTTGAGTGATTTGAATGTCGCTTTGTTCATTCAATTCCACTTTCCGAGTTGCATCAAATGCCAATCGGAGCCCGTCTATGTGCTTGGTCGGAGTGATTAGGTGAATTTATTTAGGTCAGAATAAATGTTTAATTTTTCTGCCCAAATTGTATGACCCTGTGTACCATTGAAACTAACCAAACTTCTGGAAAAATCACTAGCTAAAACATTCTTGTAACCTGTGTGTATTTTAGGACAATTATTCATGTCTTGGACCCCTAGTGGAATATATGGTTTGCACAGTACATTTCCGTTCCACTATCTTCTCTGCCGTTGTCTTCAAGTGGCTTCAAAACTGCCTATTAGCTTCCATCTGCTTCTCATATCGTCGTCTTCATGTCACACTTGGATCCATGCTTAACTATATCATCACATCAAACATCAACCTTCTAGATGCCACGCCGTCTGTTGTCACTTAGATGTCTTCATGGAGTTTAAATTCAGCTCGTCCTCATTTCTTTCGGTATGTATGTTAGATAAGCAAACCACCTAAGAAATTCCTTGCTGCACACCCTCTCTGGATGATCATTCACTATATATTAGTTCAGACAAGCGTTTGAATTGAATACAGGAGTAAGAAAAAGCTGTGTATTACCAACCACGATGATATTCCTAATTGCGGTCGACTGGATTATGCGTCAAACTGTGGGGAGCGAGGAGATAGGAATACACAAGACCCCAATGAAGAAGACACTAGAGGATATTTTTGATTACAGCTTGATACCACACCGTATTTTTTGGTACAAGTAGGGAATTTTCAGCATGTGATATCGATAGCCGAAATTTTACAGGCTGACCATAGATATCACGTGTGCATCGGTACAGGATCGAACCTCGGACCATGTGCATGGTCGGCGAGAGTCCTAACCACTGTGCCACCAAAGCACATGAACAATTTATGTCTCATGTCACGTAAATTCGAAAACTTATTGAGGAAAACCAATAAGTTGGAAGAAGAGGCAGGCAGCAAAGACAGGACTTCAGATGAACACAGAGAAGATGGAAGTGATGAAAATACCCACCGACCAATAACAAAAAACACCTAACAAACACTTTCAAGGAGATAAATTTGAAATTGGGTCACTTATCTCCACTGTTCTGGATAATCAGCATCGTGTCAGCTAAAAGTGACAGCATGGATGATGATGTCGAACCCAGGTTTGGAAAGGCGATACCCAGCTTCGTTATTCTGAAATCACTTTTAAAATTTTCTGCACTGACTCATCATAAAGAATAAGATTCGTGTTTACAACGCCAATTTTAAGTCAGTTAATTCTTGTACATGAGTGAGAAAATTGGCGCGATAAACTTGCGCTTCACTAAAAGCACATTGAACAGGCTACTGTGGACTTTAATCAACATCTTCCCTTACTGGTTCAATACTGAAGATCATGAGGTCGGACGGAAGGAATTAGCAACTAGAGTGTACTCCCACTCTGAAAGAAGACCTTCGACTGACATGAAGGAGACCATGTGAGGAGGAAGAGAAGAAGGATTATATACAATTCCGAAGTCATCTGATGAGGATTGCGTCAAACAGGATGACATGAAGATGTACTGCTGAAATTTAATGTTCCACTCACATCTCAAGATAATAATAAAAAAAGATCGTCAATTCGGTGTTGACTAAAGGCGGCAGATTGAATGAAAACATGCACTGGCTTGTTGAAGAAGATATCTCCTGTGAACTTCACATCAATTTTGTTTTTCCACAGTACTTCCAAGCACTGACTGACTCACTGACTTGATATTACCGTGTTATATATTTCAGATTGTATTCAGTGTGTGTATGTCATGTGTTCACTTACAAATCACCTCTATTGTTCTACTTTACGGATAGTATCAAGTATACATGAATTCATTTCGATCCGTTTCTGTTTGTGAGCAATATATATATATGTGAATGTATGCATAGATAGTTGGCTTCGAGGAGGGGATAAATAGCTTTGAAGTACTTCAGTGCGTCAACATTCACGCTGTTATTTCTGTCTTTTTTTATTCGAAGTACTACCCCTTGTCTCTTTTTTAACTGCAAAGCTAAAATCGATTACGCAATAGTAACAACTTGTGTTAATCTCGTTGTTGTTGTTGTCGCTGTTGTTCCATCTTCTTATTGTATACAGACCAACGTGTATTAGTACACACACTTAACTGTCACTTGTAATGAGATGTATTCATTCACACTAATGTTGATTTTGTTACAATTGAAAAGGCGAAGATAATATCGGTGATATATATATTACTGAAATAAATACTACTAACAACAACGATAATAATAATAGTAGTAGTAGTAGTAGTATGTTGATGTATACATTACAAAGGTTGCAGATAACATTTGTCAAGATAAACAGCAGGGGTTGATTCTCCGCCCTCTCTCTCTCTTTCTTTAGCTTAGTCTTTCTTTCTCTCCCTCATTGAACGGTAGCTTTATAATGAAAAAATCATTAACACGTCCTACAAGTATGATGTAAGATAGAATTGAAGCATAACACAGACGGTTCCCTTTATTATTATTATTATTAGATAGTTTGAATAGAGAAAGAGTGAACATATTTGCAGTTTTCGTGTTTGATAATACGAGGTCGTTTTTGCTTTGCTGTGGATTCTCTTCCACTCCAGTATACATCCTAAACAAAATCAATTAGAAATTACAAAAGGGTGTCTGAAAATACTGTTTTCATTTTTTCACAATGACTTCAAATTATGCAGATAGAAAGTATAAACAACATAATTCCATGCATGAATGTAAATAGACGAATCATTCAATGTTCAAAGTGTAACAATTTTTTTTGAGATAATTATGCATGAGGCTGTAGTGTTCAAATTTATCTTGGAAACAAGGATGGACAGAACAGAACAGAACAAAACACCTAAGCAGCCAAATAAAAAACAATTGCGGTCACGCCATCTTTCTGTATACAAGCGTTGTGTCGATATCTTTTGATGTCACTGGCTTCTGACAATAAAATTACCAACTATGGTTTTGTTTGTCTATTGATTATTCTGAAAGCCTGAGTAATTTCAACCGAATGTCGTGTGTCAGTCAGGTGCTTCCAACAATTGGACTTGTGAGCACTCTGTCGCCTTTCAAATGGAAACTTCCAGGGATATACTGGGAAAATCTAGTAGACGCTGTCCTCTACTCAGTCCTTTCTATGAACTTGCTTGAGCGAGTTTAGGTAAATTGGTAAATGCGTTTGGAGTTGACATGAGCAGGATACGTATCTACTCTTGACTGAGTTAATGTACAAGAGAAGCAAGACATTCTCATATGCCATGGCTAGACAAACTAAAG